TTCCTTTTTAAGTAACTATCTAATTCTCTTTTGAAAGCTATTATCGAATCTGCTTCCCCCACCCTTTCCATCAGTGCATTGTAGACCGTAACAACTCTCTTGGATAAAAAACATTCTCCACTTCACCTCTCTGACTCTTTTGCCAATTATAGGCGGACAGCAATATGGGGTCCCAAATCCCACTCAGTCCTGGCATGCAAGGTCGTTTTGCCTCGAATTCACAGTCCTAAATACTGTGGAGTCCTATAGTTTCACGTTTAGAGCACTCGCCTTGCAAGCGAAAGGACATGGGTTTGAAAGGTTGGGCAAGTTTCTTGCCACCACACGCCTCTATTACCTAGCAGTAAGTAGGAACCCAATTGTTAGTTGATTGGCAGATCGCATTTTCGGGGGTAATAATCCCTTCAAAGGATAAAAAATAATTAAAAACAAAATAATAATTTGGTCATTCAATCCAAGACTGTATGTGGGACACTGCTGTGTGCAATTAGCTGCCGCGTTTTGCCCACAAAATATACAGTATAATCACTTTACAGTATATTCTGCATAGTGCTTTGCGATGTCTCAACGACGGGAGAAGGTGCTATATCAAATGGAAGAATTGTTATTTTTATTATTATTATAAATGTAATTTGTTGTTGTTACTGTAGAATTAAAGAACATTCGCAACTCAGAAGCCCTGTTGTTCCACAGCTCTAAGAAAAAGGAACCAGCTTCCAGAACCGGATTGAAGCATTTTCCTGAGTCCCATGTTGTCTTTAGACAAAAAAGGGTCTCACAAGATAAGACTGGTTAGAATTTGAAGATTGGGGGGGGAAGACCTCCTTGGTTTAAGAATGCAACTTCCCACATGTCGTTGGATAATTTTTCAATATGCCATCAAATCTGCTACGAAACATTGTATTTATGTTCCATCCTTCTGTCCCCAAAGTCTGGGTGAAAAAAAACCCTCAACACTCTCCACCACCCAGGCTCCAAAAACTTTTCTTTGATGGGAGTTAGTGACAATTTCCAAGTCTATAAATGTCCCTCTTGTTTTGGCCCGTGCAAACTGTAATTTCAAAGCTAAAACGTCAGCTTGCGTCTTCACATCCTCTGTTTCTGATGCCCTTTTCTTTTTCTCAGGTCTGTTACTCTCTGTAACCCTTCTGGCAATGACGGCTTGGGTTCTTTCACCAGCTCAAGCACAATGGCTCAGTTGGTAGCACTCTCATCTCTGAGCCAGAAGATTGCAGGTTAAAGTCCTCACTATATCGGGATTTTTAAAATGCGCTTCCAGTGCATTACTGGGGAGACAGCTGAACGGTCCAAGGTGCCTTCCTTTGGCCGAGTGCTCATTTGTGGGTTCAAGAAGAGAAGGGAGTTTTTCCTTGAGTCCTGGCCAACAATCTCCAGACACAACCGGTCATTTGTTTCCATTGGCTGTTTCATGTGCCAAATTCGCTGCCACACTTGCTGACAAATTACCGTCTCTGCACTTCACAGTAAACTCTTGTGAAGAGCTTTTGAGATGTTACAGGCGCTGTATCAAATGAATGTATTTTTTATTGTGAACAAAGTAAGAATCTTAGGTTTCATATAGTACGAAATATACCTGGGCTTGAATATCATTGTGTGTCAACCTGGTTAAGTTGGCAGCATTCTTGTCTTTGAGTTAGTAGTCAGTAGTGGTTTCAAGCCCCCATGTTGGGATTTGGAACCCATAGGTGCTACATCAAAGTATTATTTTGTAATACTGCAAGGTTTTGAAACTTACCTCTGCCTTACCTGAAGAATGGCACTTCTGATAATGCAGTGCTTCCCCTCCTCCTAGGCACTGTGATTTTTCAAATTGAGACTAAATTAATTCTAATTTCAGCACAATCTTAATTTTAAAGACCATGGGCCCCTAGTGGCAAGATCTGAGGCTTGAGGGACCCCGGAGTTTGCATGTTGGGAGGTGACTGCTGGAGTCCAAGCAATGTGCAAAGCGTTTCAGAAAGTGCTCCCACATAGAAACAGGAGTAGGCCATTCAGCCAATCGAGCCTATTCTGCAAGATCATGGCTGATCTGTACCTCAACTCCAATTACCCATCTTTGCCCTGTATCCCTTGATATCAACCTAACAAAAATCTATCCACCTCAGTCTTGAAAATGTGAATGGATCCACATCCACAACCTTTTGGGGGAAGAGAGTTCCAGATTTCCGCTACCCTTTGGGTGAAAAATTGCTTCACTCCTAAATGGCCTAGCTCTAATTTTAAGATGATGCCCCCTTGTTCTGAATTCCCCTATATCTCTGTATCTACCCCATCGATTCTCTTTATTATTTTAAAACTCTCAATCAGATCACCCCTCAACCTTCTAAAGGGTATAGAGACCAAGTTCATGCAACCTGTCCTCATAATTTAACCCTTTAAGCCCTGGTATCGTTCTGATGAACCTGCGCTGCACACCCTCCTCAGGCAATACATTCTTCCTGAGGTGCGGTGCCCAAAATTGAACGCAGTACTTCAGGTGGGGTCTGACCATGAGAGGCACTGTATAAATGCTAGTACTTGTGACTTGTTATCTATGTGTGTCAGCCTGACTGTGGGTTCAATACCCACGTCGGGACTTGTGATCACAAGTCTAAGCTGGGGATGTGTTGCATCATCAGAGGTGCCTACTTACATATGAGACGTAAACTGAAGTCCTGTTTGCCTGTTCAGAAGGACGGTAAAGATCCCATGGCGCTACTCGAAAAGAGAGGGGAGTTTCTCCCGGTATCCTGCCTAACAAGCTCTCCAAATAAAATTAGTCACTCACTCCATGGCTGTTTGTGGGATGTTGCTTAGGTGCAAATTGGCTGTTGTGTTAGCCGTCAAAATATTGTACAGCGAATCCTGTGAAATGCTTTGAGGTATCCTCCTGACATGAAAGGTGCTATACCAAAGGCAAATGTATATAAATGTACTTGAAGCTGAAGCGTAAAAGACAACAAAAGGATGTTTCAAGTTGTGAGACCACAAGGGTCAGGTTTGGGAATATGTAATTTACACGTATCAAAAAGGTGAATTTCTGCATCCGTTACACAAAGGATGAAAGTTAATGTGTTTCTTTTTACAGTACATTACAGGGTATTACTGATGTGGTAAAAAAGTCGCAGGATTAATACACATTACACAATAATTGTTACTTTTTTTTGGGTATTACAGAATACTTTTAACGCATTTCCTCGCTTACGCTTTTACGGGGGGAGGGGTGAAAGGGAAGGCCAGGGGAAATTGTACCGCTTTGGGGTGGAAGTCAATGGAAATAAGTTTTCGTTTGATTTACACACACGCGAGAACGCACAAGGAAAGCGCAAGTCACAACAGCACACAGAGAGCAGCCAGTGCTGTGCACCACGTAATCACACACGTTCTTTTGAAACAAAAATTGAACAGCGGAAGGCTGAAAACGCCTGACGCAAGGGATCGACGCACAAATTAAAACGCTGACGAAAGAGCCGTGTGGGGTGCTTCCCTGTTTTAAATCGTCGAGACGGAAAAAAAGATAAAACCGTTCACCCTCCGATTTCTGGTACTTCATATTAAATAACAATAAATAAGTGTTTCACATCAATTTCACATGACAGTCGTTCAAAAGAAAAATAAATTATATCAGTGCTGTGTTTTCTTCCTTCCCACCACCACTCTCTCAACACCCTTCCCCTCCCCCCATCACTGCTTGTCCAGCTAGTACCACCCTACCCGTTGGGTCTTTGACTTGTGGAGGATTCCCTGCCCCCAGTAACTGGTCTGCCCTTCTAAGTCCTGCTGATGATCCAGGCTGGGATATGCTGTCATTAGCAGTGTCCTGGAATACTGCGGACCCGCCTGGCTCAGGAGCCCGACTACCGAGACCGCCAGAGAGGGCCATCTCGATTCCGGCATTCCGTTGCCAAACATGTCACCATGGAGCCAGTTCAGCTCCAAAGAGACCCTGTTTACCTCCTCTACAAGGAGGATACCCTCCCACTCCCCAATTAACTCTACGCTGTCACAGGAAGGATGTATATCTTTTAACCACCCACTCCCATTCGGAGTTCTGAAATCCTTGTTAAAAGGCATTTCTTTTGTCTTCATTTTTTTTTTAGAAAGAGCAGAACCATGGAAGACTCCTAAATCCAGTTTAGGATTGTCTCAGGGCCCAAGAATATCCAGCTTTGAAATTAAATGGGATTTAAGAATTCTCTGTAATTTCTAGAATTTTCCCACCTTAAATTTTTCAACCCCGCTCCCCCCCACCCCCAAAACACATAGGGCGGTCAGGCTAAGATCTAGTGGGACTTTGGGGCTCCAGGATGGGATCTGTGGTAGAAACAGGAATCATCCCTATTGCACTGGTGCATTTTACAGCATATATAAGCCACGAGCAAACACAGCTGTATACCGCTGTGTTTGCTCGGGGCTTACACATGCTGCAAGAATAGCAAATCCCCTTATGAAGAGGATCTGTGGTCAGATTGTGCCCTAGAAGACCCATGATTGCTTACAGCTGAAAGGGCGATGGGCTGGGAGCCAGCAGTCAACTCATTATCCCCTGAGCACACTCCAGTGCCGTGCACACAAAACAAATTGCACTTGTACGATGCAACATGGTTGCCGCGAGGGCAATGGCTCATGCTGCTCCTTGTAATCACGCAGCTGAAGGGGCAGGTGACATGTCCCACTGGGGTCCCTGGAATCACCTTTACTTGCTAGTGCTCACGCCGCAGATCACCACTCCCTACCCCATCCTTCCTGTCTACGCTCGCATCTTCACCCTGACAAGGTGTTCTGGAGTGCAGAAGGCAGTGCATCCACACATCGCCGCAGTCCAACAATGAGGCAGATTCTCATTGTCTGGGTTGTTCTCCACCTACACCCCACATTGACGGTGGTGGTGGTTGTGGTGAGGGAGGGCGAGTGGGTGGGGGGTTGGGGAGGGGGGGAAGGGTTGAGGGAGGGGCGGGGAAAAAAAAGCCACAATTTTTTTTTTGCCCTCCCCTCCATCCAGCCCTCCATCCGTCGCCAGATCTCTGGACACACAGGGAACGAACGGAATGGAATATAATGAAACCAAAAGAGCAAACGAAACACGACCAAAAAGACAGGAGTCCGTTAAAACTCTTTAGCATTTCCTCGAAAAGCACTGCTTGAAGGCCGAGGGTCTCTGGGACAGTGGGCACCCCTTGGTCAGCTTGGACCGCCAGTCCTTACATTGCACAGTCCTGGTCTGCCAGCCTGTGTCGCACGTTCGCGAGCAGGACAGCCACGGGCCCGTGATCCACTTGACCTGGTGGGTCTGCCTGGCCCCCACTTTGGTCAGCGACCCAATGGAATTCCCCTCAGCTTCCGAGGCTTGCTTCTTGGGGATGAAGTAGCTGTAGCGGACGTCCAAGGGTTTCCCGGGATCGGTGGCCAGGATCTGGACAATCAGAGGTTCCCTCAATGCCCCGGGGCCCATCGAGTGGAGCTGGTCGTCCCGCTGGCTCCAGCCGCTGTAATTGAGCACCGTCCCGTTCAGGTCCACGATGTTCTCGGAGGTGGAGATCATGTACTTGCCGTTGAAGAGGTATTCCCCGTTCTTACGCTTGACCGCCAGGTAGGCCGTGAACCTGTGCTGCCCCTTGGGCTTGAACTGACGGACTTTGATGTGCGTTGCCTTGGCGGGGATCTTCACCACGTCTGTATAGCCAATGCTGGAGGAGAAGGAAGTGGGACGAGAAGGATTGAGGCAGAGAAAAGTCATGATGGGAAAGAAAACTGCCTGCAGTGCCTCAGCATGAGGTTCTGAGGCACGAAATTACACCTAGAAATTTAAGAGCTCTTAAGAATTGCAGGAAAATTCATCTTGGTTATAATAATAAATTATCCTTGCATTTGATATAGCGCTTTTTCAGGTCGTTGAGACATTTCAAAGTCCAGAATATATTGTGAAGTGATATTGACTGTATATTTTGTGGGCGAAACACAACAGCCAATTGCACACAGCAGTGTCGCACAAACAGTCGTGGATTGATTGACCAAACTATTATTATTTTGAGGATTATTATCCCTGGAAAGCAATCTGCCAATTGACTAACAACCGGGTTCCTACTTATTACTAGGTAAACAGAGGTGTGTGGAATAAGAAAACTTGCCTAATATTACGCCCTGCCTGGGAAACGAACCTGGGTCCTCTCGCTTGAAGGTGAATGCTCTAACCACTATGCTTCAGGACTCTACTAATTTTGAGCTCCTTGTGCCTGACTAGGGCTAAACTGGGTCAACAGCAGACTGATCTCTCTGGTGGAAAGCTTTATCACAAGATCAAGATCAGCTTGAAGGAAGAAAGCCCTTTAGCCCATCTCATCTCACCCTTCCACAACACTCGTGCTACCATCCTCCCAGTCCACACCCTCCACACCCATTAGTAGCATCAAGCTGTGTTTTAAATGCGTCCCCTGCCCTCAACCACAACAACAAATCACAATGAATAGCAACTTTCACTTTGGGAGGACGGCCTGAGGCGCTGGACTGTAAAGGATTTGCACCTGAGCTGGGGGTTGGGATCAGGAGGGGTGGGGGCAGGGCAGTGACCGAGAGAAAGGTCTTGAGACAAGTCCTGAAGGAGGCAAGGGATGGGGCGAGGCAAAGGGATTGTGGGTTGGAGTTCCAAATGGTGGGGGCAGAAAGCCTGTAGGTGGGGTGGGCAGGGCGGTGGACATAGTTCTAGGAACCAACCTTACTGGCAACCCGTTTCCAGTCGGACATATTGATAAATGCAGCAATAATTCCGAAGTTGGCTTTCTGTAAATTTCTTTTAAAAAGGTTGGATTGAATAACTTGCCAAATTCTGGATATAATAATAATTAATAATCATCCTTGCATTTGATACAGCACCTTATCATGTCTTTGAGATGTCTCAAAGCTTTACAGAATAAACGTGAAGTCAATTGACTGTATACATTGTGGGCGAAACAACGGATATTCCGAAATGATATTAATAGAGTAAATCTAGATCCAGGTGGAACTTAATCCCATTTATTGTTTAAACAAGCCCGAGAGAGAAATTGAGAGAGAGAGAGACAGAGAGAATGTAGACAGGAATGCAAACAGGAACCTAGGTTACTGCTGTCTGGAGCACATGCTGTTCAGATCCAGATCTTAGTTAGCGCTGGCAAAATGGCAATTAAGGAATCATTTTGTGTCATTCCACTAGAATGAATGCTTTTTTTCCAAGGTTGGGCTGATCACAGTAGCGAAAAATAATACATATTAATAATAATCCTTGTATTTGATACAGCGTATCATCACACTGTTGAAACTTCTCAAAGCCATTCACTGGGTTTTACTGTAAAGCACCTCCGGACACCAGTGGATCAAATTCAAGATCCTTGTGCACATATTCAAGTCCTTCCAGGTCCTGTCCACCCCCATCCCCCCACTTTCTCCGCCAATTCCTGCGACTCTACAGTGAACCCTGACTTCATTATCTCCCCCACTTGATCTGCCCCACTGTCGAGCTTTCAGCTACTCTGACCTTGCTCTCCCAGAGTCCCTCTGATTTACCCCTTCCCTCCTCTTTTTTTAATGCCAGCCACGAGACCATCCTCTGCATTTTTGCCTATGCAAAATTATCATCTTTCCTTATCCCAACTCTCTTCAACTCTCCCACCCTCCATCCCGCCCGGCTTGAATGCGTACGCAAAGTGCTTTGAGCCGTCCTCCTGACGTGAAAGGCGCTGTATAAAAGCAGGCAGTATTGCATCATTTCACTGATTTGATAAGGCTCTGTATCAAGTGCAAAGATTATTATATTATTACGACTGTGAGCAGGCTAGGTGGCACAAGCCAGTGTAGTGTAGGCTGCAGGTCCTCATGATGTGAGCAAACCAGTTATAAAGAAGAGAGCTACAACAGACTTGCACTATAGCAGGCTTTCCGGGTGAACCAAATGGAGAATCTGTTCTGAGGAAAGGAACGGGCACAAGGGAAATGCAGGATATGCCAAAGAGTCGCTCAGGACTTTTTTTGCGGGGAGGGAAAGGATCAGGGGTCAAACGTTTCATTGCTGCTGTTTACAAAGTAGTTTCCTACCCTTCCTGACAATTACAGTTCATCATCTTATCTTAAGCATATCGTTATCTGTTTACCATGGTGGCTTCCGAGCTTTTTATGGCAATTAAAGGCCAGTGAACCGATCAGCCCCATCCTTGCCTGGCTCCTCTGGCTCCCCATCCCTCAGAGGATCAAGTTTAAAATCCTCGCGTTAACTTTTAAAGCCCTCCATGACTTTGCTCCTCCTTACCTCTGTCATCTCTTAACACCAGCTTGGTGGGCACTGTCCTGCTCCATGTCCCCCGCTCTGCGCATCCCACCATTGGCGGTTTCAGCTCGACTGCCCCCACCCTCTGGAACTCCATCCCGGAGCACGTCTGCCTCAGCACCTCTGCCTCGCCCCCTCCCTTGCCTCCTTCAAGGCCGGTCTCAAGACCTTCCTCTTTCACTGTGCCTTTGGTCATCTTCCCACCTTCCCTTCCCTCCAGCCCTCTTGATTCCAAATCCCAGCTCCGGTGCTAAACCCTTAAATGTCTGGCACCTTGGGACATCCTTCTGTCACGAAAGGCGCTATATAAATGTAAAAAAGAGAAAAAGAGAAAGAGCAAACTGAAAAAGAGAGAAAAGGGTCAGGAAGAGAGACAAGAGAGTGAGAAAGAGATTGTGTTTTTATAGCACCTTATCACTCTGAAACGTCTCAAAGGCCTTCAGAGTGGTTAGTGTTGAGCGCAGTGACTGTGTGTGTGTGTGTGTGTGTGTGTGTGGGCAAGTTCCAAGGGGTTAATATTACCTTCTCTTTGTAAAGGTGCGGGCGACTTTGATGCAGGTGGAGCTGTCCCCCCCGCACATGCCACACTTGTCGTACTGGAGCTTGGAGCCTATGATGCCGTCGCAGCCAGTCCGTACACAACGTCCCCGCACACACACTGAAGTGCTGTAGGGCTGGCACTCAGTGCCGTCAATCACCTGAGGGACAGAGGAGATAAGCATCTCAGCAGTGGAAGCGAACAAGAGGATACAAGAGCTCAACTCGAGAAACCTTTACACCACCAAACTCATTGCAGGGGAAGCTCATACAATAACAACTTAATAATAATACCAATCCTTGCATTCAATATTGCGCCTTAATCACATCATTGAGATGTCACAAAGCGCTTCACAGAATATACTGTAAAGTGAATAGACTGTATATTTTTTGGGTGAAATGCAGTAGCAAATTGCGCACAGCAGTGTCCCACCAACAGTCGTGGATTGAGTGACCAAATGATTATTATTTATTTTTTTGAAGGGGTTATTATCCCCCGGAAAGCGATTTGCACCCTGCAAAATCCAACAAGCAGCCAGGAAACAAATGCTCAATTTTATCTGGTGGGGGTGAGGGGGTAGGGGTTGGGCAGAACACCGGGAGAAATTCCCTTCTCTTTGCAAAAAGGATCTCAAATGTCCACTTGAATAGATACAGACAGGGTCTTGTTTTTAACACCTCATTCAAAAGATGGCATCTCTGACAGTCAAGTGCTCTCCACAACCCCCAGCACTACAACAACAAAAACAACTTGGATTTATATAGCGCCCTCCACCCGATCAGAGTCTCAGAGCACTTTACAGTAACGGATCCCGGGACTGAGCCAGGGGGAGGTGTTGGAAGGTGACCAAAGGCGCGGTCGAAAAGAAAGGTCTTCAGCAGAGACCTGAAAATGGGAAGGGAGGGAGCGAAACGAAGGGAGTGAGGAAGGCAGTTCCAGAGCCTCGGGGCATAGTGGCTGAAGGCACGGCCACCGAGGGAGGAGCGGAGGACTCGGGGGACAAGTAGGAGGCCAGACCCGGAGGAACGAAGGCAACGGGTATTATTTTGAGGAGAGAGGAGGTCAGAGAGGTAGGGAGGTCCAGAGGAGTGCAGGGACTTGAATACAAGGGTGAGAATCTTAAAATCGATCCTCTCTGGGATAGGGAGCCAGTGCAGTATGGCAAGGACTGAATGAGTTGTATTTTATGGATGGTAGTGGATGGGAGACTGGTGAGGAGGGCGTTTGAATAGTCCAGCCGGGAGGTGACAAAGGCTACATCAGGGTGTCAGGCTAAAGAGTGCAAAAGCATCGGCTTGAACCCGCAACCTTGTACCTCAGAGGCGAGAATGCTACCCACCAAGGCAGGCTGACACTTGGATTTAGTAAGAAGTGCGGAAGGGGAAAGAGTGTGAATCCAGGGTTAGCAGATCACAGGCTGGTTCTCCCGGGCGAGGTTTGACAACAAGGATATTTTAAAGTTGGCTTGAAGTTAGAAGACGCTGAGGATTTTTTAATATATATCTACGGAGTACTCCCACCCAAAAAAAGCAAGGCCACTTTGGCTTTTTCCGCTGAACCACATCCATTGACATCACCTCCAACAACTCAGCCCTTTGCTGCATTGGAACGTTGATCTGGAATGTGAACCCAAAGTCCAGGACGTGAGGCTTTGAACCCACATCCTCTCTGACTCGGGAGGCAAGAGCGCAAGACTGACCAAGGCTGACATCTGGTTGCAGGGGAAGAATGAGTAAGGTCGTCAGTCTGTCTGTCTGTCTGTCTGTCTGTCCGCCCACTCACCCTGTAAACTCTCTGGCTTGAAATTCCACGCCCTTACCTTCTGAGAAAACACCACGTAATAACCCGTGCCCTTGGCCCGGCAGGTTAGTTTACACATGTCGGTTGGAATGACGCCAGCAAACTTTGGAACCCATTCCACAAATGTCTTGGCTCCTTTGGCATTGGTCTGATAACCGTTCCGCTCCTCGCACTGCTCGTGACGAAAGGATTTGCCTGGAACCCAAATATAAATACAATTAGAGCCCGCCAGTTAGTTTTGATGGTTGCATTACAGACCGTAACAACAACCACTTGCGCTTATATGGTGCCCTTCAAGGTAAACACGCACCCCGACAGACAGACACGCACCCCGACAGACACACGCACCCCGACAGACACACGCACCCCGTCAGACACACGCACCCCTTCCCGAGAGACACACACACAGAGACACGCACAGAGATACACGCACAGAGACAGATACACAGACACGGATTTAAAAAAATATATATTTTCCACCCTGTTTTGGAAATGAAATGCCTCCATCAAAAACAAAACCCCACACACATAGTAACGCGAATGTGGAGTGCGGTCATGCACACAGCAGACTGGAAAATTTATGTGTATTTTTTTTCTTAAAAAACATTTTCAGCTTTTGGCACCTCCGCTTCAGACACTGTGCAGCGTCGGGTTGCCAAGAGCAACAGGATTGAGCAGCAGACTCAAACACTGTCCACCACCAAATCTTGAAAGAATGTAAACAAGCTCTGGAGTCATTGGGGAGCGTGACACTCTCCCTTCCCTTTCCACCCCCTCGTCTCCTCGCTAGCCTGGACCTTCTTTGCTGCATACTCAGATCGCAACCACACTGCACGCATTAACACAACAGAGTCCCGTAGCATAGTGGTTAGAGCGCTCGCCTCGCAAGCGAGAGGACCCAGGGTTTCGATTCCTGGGCGGGGCGAAACCTTAGACAAGTTTGCTTTCCTCACACGCCTCTGATTACCTAGCAGTAAATAGGAACCTAGTTGTTAGTCGATGGACGGATCGCTTTCTGGGCGAAACAATCCCTCCTCCCAAAAATAAATTTGGTCACTCAATCCACAACTGTTTGTGGGAAATTGGTGTGTGCAATTGGCTGCCGTGTTTTGCCCACAGTCAATCCACTTTACAATATATTCTGTGAAGCGCTTTGAGACGTCTCAAGGTTGCTCTATACCAAATGCAAGGTTTATTATTTTTATTAACACCTTTCCAAATGCACGTTCCCAAATAACAAATGCTTTGTTTGATAAGTTCCCTCAGTGAGTACCCACCTGATTCATGTCCCCAGTCCTATCTGATCCGCCATCAGTGGGTAAGCTTTCAGTCATTCTGCCCCCACCACACACACACTCTCTGAAACTCCATCCCAGAGTCCCTCCGACTCCCCCACATGCTCCCTCCCCTCCTTCCGAGATGCTACCCCGCTTGAAATCTGGTTCTTTTTATTTTTAAAAAATCTTTTATTTCCAAACAATTCCCTTTTAAAAGTTTTCATAGACTCTGATACAAGCCAGTCATTTCACTTGTTCCATTAACCCCTAAGTATGTGTCTCTGTGTGTGTTTATGTCTATCTGTGTTTGTCTATGTGTGTGTTGTGGAAGGAAAAGGTCATGAATTTCCTCCCTCTCCCTCGTTTTCAGATAGCTGGCACAGATGCGATGGGCCGAATGGCCTCCTTCTGCACGTGTAAAAAATAATTTCTTGAACTTTGGGCAGTGAAAACAATCAGTTTCAATCAGTCGGTGTTCAACTTTTTAAAAAACACGTGCCTGTAATGTATTTTATTTTACTGTTGCTGGGCGGCACGGGGGTTATCGGAAATATTGGATTCCTGTGGGAGAGCATCAGGTCTGAAGTCTGTTTATACACAAGCTTAGGTTTCAGGGGTAGCGAGCAGGCTTTCAGTCATTCTGCCCCTGCTCTCTGGATCTCTATCCCGGAGTCTCCTTCAATTCGCTTTTTCCCCCCTCCTCTTGTTTCAAGGCTCGATTCGAGACTTACATTTTGACCGCAGATTCGGTCATCTTTCCCCTTCCCACCCACTTCCCTCTCACCCCCAATCCGGGTGCCCAGCCAGCTGTGTCAAGCACTTTGAGATGTTTCCTTGATGTGAAAGGCGCTGTGTAAATTGTACTCTATGGTTACATTACCATCTTACATAATTCTGTGTAAGGTTGCCTGGCTTGAACAATAAATCTTGGCCTTACTTGGTCTCCCTCTGCTCGCCGGCCACTGGCCTGTTTCATGGCTCCCTTTCCAACCATGCCTTCGGTCATCTTCCCTCCTCCACCTCCCTTGCCCTCCACCCTGCTCTGTTGCCGACATGCAGCTCGGGTGAAAAACCCCTCATTGTCCACCACTACAAAATATGTTCTCCCGAACGCCAAAGGCGCTACATAAATGTGATTTGCGGTTTTGTGGCTGTTATTCACTGTTAAATTGCTTTGGGCACCTGACGCAGCCAAATTTTACTCGAACGTAAGAGAAGGGACGCACCGGTTTGTGGGCACGACTTGACGTTGCAGGATCGGTACATGGCACGCTTGCCCACGCAGTACTTCCCGTTGTTCCGAGGCGCCGGATTGTTGCAGTGCCGATGGGAAAACTGCACACCGCCTCCGCAGCTGCGGGAGCATGGCCCCCAGGAACCCCAGGACCCCCAGCTTCCGTTGGCCGAGACCTGCAATGGCACAAAGCGGCAAGTGTCAATCGCCACGTTTCACGCTGAATCAATGATAAAAAAAACAGTTGTTTGACTTGACAGTATATATATATCCCTGTGGAGCGCTTCGAGGTGTCTCAACGCTGTGACAAACTGTCATATTAAATACAAGGATTATTATTATTGTTGTCAATATTATTATTATTATAACGATGAGCGCACTCCGCAATGAGTCTCAGTTCAGGCCGATGCTCCAGTGGAGTGTTGGAACAACTCTGCATTATCAGAGGAGGCAGGTGTGTGGAGGGGGGTGGGCGGTGAGACCCAGCTGTCAACGAAGTAGTGACACCTGTTGGATTTGCCCACCCACCACCACCACACTCACAACAAAATAAAACAATAATATTACATTTGTAAAGTGCCTTTCCCGTCAGGAGGACGTCCCAAGGCGCTGGGCAGTCAGTGTTTCGACCCAAAATGGGGGTCAGGCTCGGGGAGGGTGGAGGGCGGGGAAAGCAGGGTGAACGAAAGCACAGTCAAAGAGGAGTCTTGAGATGGTCTTCAAGGTAGCAAGGGATCGGGTGAGGCGGAGGGACTGTGGGATGGAGTTCCAGAGGATGGTGTCGCGGAGCCTGGTGCGGGAGAAGACATGGGCTGCAGAATTCTCGATGATCTGCAGCCTATGAAGGGAGGGGTTGGGGAGACCGACAAGCAGGGAAATTGTAGAGTCAAGCCTTGATGTTATGAATACGTGTATGAGGGTCTCGGCGCCTGCGGTGTGAGACAGTGTCGGAGCCGGGTGACGTTGCGGAGATGGGGGAAGGCAGAGCGGGTCATGGCATGGATGTCGGGTAGAAAGGATAATATTACTCACCGAGTAGTAGCGCCGCTTGGTTTTGTCCACACATTTGCCGTGGAGGCAGATCCTGCCCTTTGCGCAAGGTGTCCCCTCCACCGCGGGCAACTTTTTGGTCATGCAAACCATCTGCCCCTTGCGGATGACGGCGCACCACAGGCGAGAGCACACATCCATCCCGGGGCACACGGTGTACTCCGGCCCAAAGGCCAGCTTGCACTGCTTGACTGCGTCGTAGCTCTGCCCCGGCAGCTCCTCTGGGGTCCGTAGGGGATTCTGAGGAGCATCCAGAAGGCAGTCTCCTGCAAAAATGGCACATAGTCAGGGCTCAGGACTCAGCCAAGCTCCCATTTTTAAAATCAACAGAGATTTACATAGCAAGGTTTCCATTCACTGCCATTGCCCAATCCCCCTCCCGCCCTTCAAACCTCTAACCTTCATATATCCATCTACTTCCTTCTTGAAACCCACAATGGACTCTGCCTCTACCACTTTGCTGGGCAAGGCCTTCCACCCTGTTTTGAAAATGAACTGCTATGAATTATACTGATATGTATTTTGTAGGTGAACACAGCAGCCAATTTGAGCGACCAATGGAAATAGCACCTCCCGATTCACCCTGTCAGAACCTCTCGTCAATTTACACATTTCTATGTGGTCCCTTCTCAATCTTCTCTGCTTTAATATAACAATAATCCTTGCATTTGATATAGCGCCTTATCACCTCATTGAGATGTCTCAAAGTGCTTCACAGAATACACTTTAAAGTGAATTGACTGTACATTTAGCGGGTGAAACACAGCTGCCAATTGCGCACAGCAGTGCGTGTATAGTCATGGATTGAGTGACCAAATTATTATTATATATACTGAATTTTTTGAAGGGATTATTACCTCCAGAAAGTGATCTGTCACTCGACTAACAACCAGGTTCCTACTTACTAATAGGTAAACAGAGGTGTGTGGAGTAAGGAAACTTGCCTCAGGTTTTGCCCTGCTTGGTAATCGAACCCAGGTCCTCTCGCTTGAGAAGTGAATGCTCTAAGTACTACGCTATGGGAGAGCACACTGTTACATGGGATGCTTACCGTGGCCATCATCGAAGAACTCGCTCACTGTGGCGGAGGTGCATTTAGACCAGGGCTTGGAGGAATCGATGCTGGTCAGAATGGAGGACATCAGCCTCTTGTCCTCGGTCAGGCCGTACGTCTCCTCACAGAACTTAGAGTCGTCATGTGACAGTCCCAGCAGATGCCCTTCAGTCAATAACAAAAAAATTCCCATTAATATAATAATAGTCCTTTGCATTTTATCTGGCACCTGTAACATCAAAATGTTTCACAGGGAACTGCTTATGAATTGCGCTGACTGTGGATTTTGTAGGCGAACGTAGCAGCCAATTTGCACACAATGATGTCCCACAAACAACCAGGAAATGAATGAATGATTTTATCTTCGGAATTGTTGGTCACAACATTGAGACTTTTCCAATACTGCCAAGGGATCCTGAGCAGAGCACTCTCCCGAACAGGCACAGATTCCCTCGGTTGCAATATCTCACCACGAACGACGGCACCTTTAATGATTTGTCTCAGGGACTTTGTACCCACAGTCTTCTGTACTCACATCCCAACAATTCTCTGAGTGAAAAAAGCTCTCCTTTTTGCTCTTCTTGTGACTATCTTATATCTATGCCCCACTAATCGATGACTCCCCAACCATTGGAATATAGAAAAAGGAGTAGGTCATTCAGCCCCTATAACCTGTTCCACCATTCTATTAAATCATGGCTGGGTGGGGTGGGGAAGGGCGTTTCCTCTGACAAACCCCGGGGACACATACCGATTTCATGAGCCACTGTAAAAGCCGCATGGAGTCCATCATCCTCGATCACCGCACAGCTGCGCTCCCGGGAGCAGATTGTGCCCACGTCCGCCATTCCCAAGGTATCGCACGAGTTGTGCCCACACAAGTTCTGATCAAAAACACAATGGCCAGGTTACACACTACAGCATTAATCATTAGTTATTCCTAATAATCCTTCCTTGCACTGATATAGCAGATGCATTTTGCCCACAAAATATACAGGCAATTCACTTTACAGTATATTCTGAAAGACGTGATAAATGCAAGGATTATTATTATTTATTTATAGCGCCTAATCACATTGTCGAGATGTCTCAAAGTGCTTCACAGGATGTACGGTAAAATGGTTTGAATGTGTGTGGTTTGTAGGTGAACATGGCAGCCAATTTACACACAGCAATGTCCCACAAACAGCCAAGTGAATGACCAAATTTCAATGGAGCATTGTTGTCCAGAACACTGGAAGAGACTCTCTTCTCTTTTCATATAGTGCCATGGGACCTTAGCGCCCACATAGACAGGCAGATGGGACCTCATCAATAATTCAAGAGTGATCCTTTCGCTTTTGATACAGCACCACATGCTCTAAACGTTTCAAATTGCTCCGCAGGGAATTTATTGTTAAGTGCAGTGACTGTGTGTTTGTAGGCAAGCACAGCATAGAACTACACAGACAGCGTGGAAACAGGTCAATTGGTTTAACTAGTCCACCTGGCATTTATACTCTACACTCCACCCCTGTTGCGCCCCTCTCCTATACCTCTCTATTCTTTCCCACATGCATATATAAAGTTTCCTCTTAAATGCTTTGATGGTTTCTGTTTTAAACATTGAGTTCCACTTTCGTACCACCCTTTGCGTATAGAAGTTCCTCCAAAACTCCCTTGTGGATCTGCTCCTGGCTATCTTATTTTTATGATCCCTTTGTTTTGGACTCACCAAGAAGTGGAAAAAGATTACAAATTTATTGAATGCTTTCGTAAACTACCCCCTTTATCATCAGTTCCCCTCTCAACTGTCTCAACGTTAGAGAGAAAAGCTCCAACCTGCACAGTCTTTCTTGATAACTGTATCCATTCATCTCTGGTAACATCCCTATAAACCTACGCTGCGCTCTCTCCAATGCTACAATACTCTTGCTGTAATGTGATGACTGGAACTGTACACAGTGCTCCGGATGTGGTCTAAACAAAGTTTTATATAAATGTAACATTACTTCCCTACTTTTGTACTCCATTCTTCTGGTAATAAAGCCAACAACTCTGCATGCATTCCTTGTCTACCTGTGTTGCTAATTTTAGGGTCTTGTGAACCTGAATCCACAGATCCCTTTGCTCCTATGCCCTTCTGACACCCAGGATAAAGTCAGTTTCTTGAATCTTCCTGCCAAAGTGAATCATTTCACATTTCCTTATATTAAACTTCATTTGCCACCTATCTGCCATTCTGCACATCTAGTTACATCCTTCTGATTTTTTGCAATCCTCTTGAGTTTGGTGTCATCTGAAAATTTCAATACCATACCTCCTACATCTGAGTCAAAATCATTTATGTACATGGTGAACAGTAGTAGTCCCAATGTGGATCCCTACATTTACTACTTCTCACCAGTCTGAGAAAGAAGCTGTCTTTTATTCCTACACTTTGTTCTCTATTTCCTAGCCATCACTCAGTTCATTTTGCTGTCTCTCCCATGACTCCACATGCATTGATTTTAGCCATAGGTATCTTATGTGAACTTTATCAAAAATATTCCAGAAATCTATATACATATCTAGGCCCTTTCTCTTGTCTACTTTATCTGTAACATCTTTAGAGAAGTTGATAACAACAATAACAAAATGACATTTGTATAGCGCCTTTCACATCAGGAGAAAAGGTTGGTGAAGCATTACCTTAATTTCTTCACAAGGTCTGGGTGAAGAAGAACCTTTGGCTCATACGAGCCCATCCACCCAGAACATCCACCCTGCTGTCGCCCCATCACAGCCTTGAGCTGCTTTTAAATTAGTCCCTATGTCGTTGGCTCTGGCCTCAACCAGCTTTCCTGGCAACCTGTTCCAGTCGTTAATTCCCCTCCAAATAAAGGAATGCTTCCTGATTTAAATCCATTGGCCGCTACTTTTAATTGCACTCTCATTGTCGAGATGCATAGTTATTCCATCCTTTATTATAGACTCCAATATCCTCACCACCACAGACATTACGATAACTGGCAGTGTAATTTCCTGGATTATCTTAATTTCCTTTTATAAAAATGGCTATTACATTTGCCACTCTCCAGTTCTCTGGCACGCTATCTTTCTCTACAGAGTTTCTAAATACTATCCTGCTACTTCAGCTATCTCTTTCCTAGATTCTTTCAGAATCCTTGGGGGTGTTCCATCTGTTCTTGTACTCCTCTTTAAGTTTGTTTCATTTATCTAGAACCTCCTTCTTCCCTATTGTGACTGCCGTGATTTCATTCCCTGCAACGTCTGTTATTCCTATATTTTCTTTGCCTTTATTTCCACAAAGACAATTGACAAAAGTATTTGTTTAGAATTTCAGCTATTTCTTTACAATTCTTGCATCTATATAGCGTCCTTCACGTAGCGTGATGTCTCGGAGTGCTTTACAAGGAAGGAGTTAGATGCCAAGCAACGGAAATGGGTGACGGGGAGGTGGCCATACGCTTGTTCGAAGAGACAGAACTGAAGGGGTGTAGGACCTGAAAGCTCAGCCACTAATGATGGTGCTGAGAGTGCGGGGGATGTGTAGCAAGCCTGAGTTAGCTGAGTGAAGAGGACAAGTGGAGGAATAGGATAGGAGATCGGAGAGATAAGGGGGTTCCAGGGACTAGATGGATTTGTAGGCGAGTATAAATACCTTGAAACAGATCCGCTGGCAGTTAGGGTGCCAGTGGATACTGACAAGGCCTTGGGTGATGGTCGTGTGGAGTTTGTTGTGAGTGCTGGTGTTTTGAATGAGTTGTAGCTTGTAAATGATGGAGCGAGGAGCGTGTTGAAAACGTCTAAGTAGGATGTAACGAAGAAGTGAACGAATGTTTCAGTGGCATTAAGTGTCATGTAGGGACAGAGACAAGTAATATGGTGGAGGTGAAACAAGGTAGTCTTGGCAAGGGACTGGATAAAAAGGTTATTTTCTCCAGTGAGTTTATTCCCCTCACCGCTCAGTAGTTCTATCCCTCCCTCAGCTATTCTTTCGTTACTAACTGGTCTATAGAATACAAGATTGGTTCAGATGAAGGAGACCCTTCGGCCCATCTGATCTCATCCCTTCAGTACACTTACCCTACCTCCCATCACAGCATCAAGCTAAATGGAATCACGTCCCAGCATTCTTGCCTCAACCACCCTTCCTGGCAACGCTGTTCTAGTCATTAATTAACCACGGGGTAAAGAAAACCTTCCTGGTGCTCTTTGCAACTCCAAACCTGTGTCTTCTTGTTCTACTGCTCTTGAACATCCTAAAGTATTGTTCTGCATTGACTTTCTCAATCCCATTTAAAATGGGATACACATCAATCAGATCCCTCTGAATAGTCTGAGTTCAAAGACTGAAGATCTCTAGCTTGTCCAATCCCTTACGATTTTTATGCTTCCTAATTCCTCTTTGCCATCCTAATGGACTTTTTAACCTTTTTTCTTAAGCTTGTCATATTCACATCTGTTTTCTCCTCTGTTATATACGTTGAATGATTTTCTGTTACTCACGTGGAATGATTTTAAAATGCTACGTTTCCAAAAAAAAAAACACTTTCCTGCATTTGTCAATACTGCGGCACAGAAGACAACATTGACTCAGAGGCCAATGGGTCACGAAGTGACAGCTACTTCCCTTCACCTCCTCCCTACCCTTCACACACACACACACACACACACAAAAACCCACACAGAAGCAATTTCCCCTTTATTTGAAAGTGAAGTTTGGAACTTTTCAGAAGTTCCGATGGGTTTAGAAAGAGGAAAGAGAACAGTGGTTTTGGGGGGAGGAGGGGGTTGAAAGCAACTCTTCCTCTGGGGAGTACGGAGTTTGTAGACTACAGCTGGTACTAGAGTTTCCCACGGAAAGAGGAGAAACAAGAGTTGAAGCCTTTGAGAAGGACCCACAGCTGGACTGGAAACACATTCGATGAGCGTAAACAGAATTTAAAGGGGCACTGCTTGTTTGTAAAAAGTGTTTAGCAAACGTTTATATTCAGCTGAGAAACGGGGGCGCGGCGGTGGGTGGGGGGGGGGGGGGGGGGAAGAAAAGCTAGCAGAGCTTTGCGTGCAGCAGCTAAATTACACTTTGCTTTTATTCCCAAACAATCCTCCCTCCACCACCGCTTGCCTCGCACCCCTACCCCCGCAGACCCCCACCCCTGCTATCGCAATGCGTGTTTGCCGTCAAAGATATTTCTCAAAGGAAGCTGTCGCTCCTGAAAGGAATGCCCCTTTAAAGAACTCTTTGACAAGCACGTGCACTGTGTTGCTGGCTTGCAAGCCAAAAAGTGGTTGTAAATACTTTAACGCAGGGGGCGGGTTGCTCTCTGGCAAGATCTGACCTTAAAGTCGGGGTGGGGGGGGAAGTTCACCCTAATTGGCTTGCCTGTCAGGATATTTCGGCCTCACAAAATATTGAATATCAAGCAGAAATTATTGAAAATTCTTCATTTTCCCCCTTTAGTTTGGAAGCCTATTTTTTTATACGTGAGCTGTTCAAGGCAAAAACAGCTTCTCGATCGAGGCTGGCACTGCGTATTTTCTGCAATGTTCACCCAATTGTCAATTTTAAAGGGAAAAATAGATTCACACCATAAGACTGGGTGTAATTACGAGCCTCTGGTGTGTGAGAACATGGACACAAAAAGACAAAACAACCAGTTTTAGGTGGATGCCAGTGGGATGAGGGGAAAAATAAAAGTGGGGGTAGAGAGAAAGAGAGGGGAGAGAGAAAAGAGGGGAGAGAAAAAAAGAGAAGGTGGCAGTTTTTAAAGGAACAATATTTTTGGAAATAGAATCTGCCTCCCTCCCTACCACCTCACCCAATGTCCTGATATTAAAACCTTTTTTTTTAAAAAAGGGAATATATATATAAAGATAAAAAAAAAATCAGGTCCCAATACACAAATTCCAGGTATTTGGCAGAACATATGTGTGTGTGTGTTTTGGGAAGTGGGATGGGGGGCAGGTAGGGAAATCGAAGGAGGGGGCAAATTAGTCAATTTGTTTTTGTTCATCGTTTAAAACAAAATTGCAGGCATGGTAAGGTTAAACGCAAGCTTTTTGCAATTTTTTTGTAAAAAAAGCAGGATTGTTTTATGTGGGGTCGCTACTCAAGACTTCTGACAAGTGTTATTAGTACCCTACCTCCCTCACCTATTCAAAGCATCGCATGTGACCTTTATTTTTTTGCCTGAATTTCCATCACAGCTGTAAACCCCCAAGGAGCAGCAACCAACCCAGCACTACTCTCTTTTCCGATCATAACATTGCAGCAGGTATTATATATATTATCAAACTTCGGTACATCAGTTCGCCTGCAGAAAATACACAGTCATTCCACTCTACAGTACATCCTCGGAAGCGACATGGAGACCTTTTCTTGATGTGAAAGGCACTGTACCAAATGTAAGGGTTATTGTAATATATAAAATAACTTATAGACAGCTATTTGGACACACGGAAAAAAACATTGCAAAAAGGGAGGCGGGTAAGGGGGGGGGGGGGAAAGAGGTTGCGAATCCATGTCCAAGAGTGGGGATGGGCTTTTAACTCCATGGGTCAGAAATGTCCATAATAATCGATTTTGTTAACATGATAGGAATCCCTGCAGTTGTTCCAGTGGTTTTAAGAGGGGGAGAGATGGTTGGGGGGTGGGGGTTGGGGAATGTGTCCAAATGCTTCACTACACTGTAGTCACGACACTGTAAAGTCAACTACACTGTCAATGACTGGGCATTTTTGTACACATTATCACACACGCAAATACAACACAACACACACACACAAACGCAACACACACGCACACACACACAACCGCAACACGCAACAGACACGCAAAAACAACATATACAAATATAACACTTCCACACACACACAAATACTAAACACACCCACATGCAAAACACACGCACAACACACACAGATGCATAGCACACACAAATGCACAACACACACATAACACACACACACACGCATACAAAACACACACCCGTATACACCACACACAGGCACACACACAAATACAAAACACCCCCACCCACCACACACACACCCCCACCCACCACACACACCATCAACTACCCCCACCCACAACACACACCCACAACACACCCCCACCCACAACACACACCATCAACTACCCCCACCCACAACACACACACCCCCACCCACCACACACCCCCACCCACCACACACACCACACCCCCACCCACCACACACACACCCCCACCCACCACACACACACCCCCACCCACCACACACACACCCCCACCCACCACACACACACCCCCACCCACCACACACACACCCCCACCCACCACACACACACCCCCACCCACCACACACACACCCCCACCCACAACACACCCCCCCCCACCCACCCACAAATACAAAACACATCCACAAATAATAATAAGTCTTTGAATTTAACGCAAAACACGCGCACGGAACACCCACCCTGGATGCAGGAGAGGTTTTGGAGGGCGCGGGGTGGGGGGGGGGATAGGAGGGAGGGAGTGAGTGAGTGAGGGAGGGAGTGAGGGAGAGGACAGGTGGGTGGGCGGTGTGTGGTGGTGTGGTGAGGGGAGCACTTACTTCTCTGGTGAAGAGGATGGCGGCGTCGTGCTGTGGCGGTGGCGGAGATGGTGATGGAGATGGAGATGGCGGTGGAGGTGATGACCGGGTGCCGTTGCCCCGGGGCTGTCCGGGCAGGTGCAGGTGCAGGTGTTGCCACCTGCAGAACTCCCTGAGGGTGGTGGCCGCGCTCTTGCTGACCCGGAGCGCCGGGTGACCCCCTCCTCCTGCTCCTGCCCCCCCCTCCTTCAGCATCAGCACCCGCACCACCGACAGCCGCACGGGGTTCTCGATGCTGGAATGGGCGAACAGCCGGGAGGCGATGGCCGCCAGGGTCAGCAGGTAGTGCCGGAGGGCGGCGCCGTACTGCTTGGCCATGGACGGGTCGGCCACCAGCAGCAGCTGCACGTGCCGGGCCCTGGACACCGAGCGCCGGGACCTCCTCCCGGGGGCGGGGGGGCGGCCGTGCCCCGGGGGCCGCTCCGGGGTCCCGGTGCTGCACGTGCCCCCCGGGACCGGGACCGGGACCGGGCTCCGCAGGACCAGAGGCTCCTCGGTGTACACGTGCGGGACTTTGCGTCCTCCTCTCGTCGTCGTCGTCGGCGGCGTCCGGTAAACCGGGCGTCTGCTCCCGCGGCTCTCCCTCACCCTCTCCCCCTCCCCGGTCACCGGCCGCCGCGGGGAGAGGCGGTAGCGGCGGCTGCCCACGGCGAACCATCCGCTCAAACCCCCGCACAGGTCCAGGCGAGCCGCCGACAGCGGGTCCGAGTCCACGGTGCCCGCGTACCGGCAGCGGCCGCCCCTCTCCGGGTCCCTCCTCAGGTCCAGCCCGAAGGTCCGGCCGTCGGCCAGGACCACCCGGTAGGCGGCCCGTCCGAGCCCGTGGCCGGAGCCCGGGACGTCCAACCGGACCAGGTCCCGCACCGACCCGCGCTCGGCCCAGGGCGGGGGCGCGGGGGGCGCGCCCGGTGTCGTGCGCTCCGGTCCGGTCCCGGCGGTCGCCGCCGCCGCCGCCGCCGCCGCCGCCGCCGCGCCCGGCGGTCCCTGTCCGCAGCTCAGGAGCCAACACCAACAGCACCAGGAGAAGGAGGAGGAGAAGAAGGAGAAGGTGGTGGTGGTGGTGGAGGAGAAGGAGAAGGAGGAGGAAAGTCTAACCATTCTCACACTCTTGTCTCTCTCTCTCTCTATATATATATATAGATTATAGATATATATATAGATATATAGATATATATTAGATAGATGTATATATATAATATTAATAATAAAATATATATATATATGTATTTTTCACCCCCCCCCTCCTCCCCTTTTAAAACAGCAAAAAATCGAAATGGCAAATGATGTTATTTGCGGACGAACTCCCCCCAAAACACTAACGGGAAAGAAAAAAGCATTAAACGCACTCACTCACTCGCACTCACTCACTCACTCACTCGCACTCACTCACTCACACACTCGCAGACACTCACACACACGCGCGCAGTGCAAGTGCGAGTTGACTTGTTTCTTTTTTTTTAAAAAAAAGTCTTTAAACTCTTGCAACAAGATTTAACAGCTTTCTCTTCCCCCTTTCCTTCCTTGCTTCACCCCCCCCAAAAAAAAATAATCTATGCACACACACACACACACACACATATATATATACTGTATATGTTTGTATATATATATATATAATATCTATCTATCTATATAAAACGTTGTAATTTTTTCCCCCCCCAAGCTTCAAATAAACCCCGCACACTTAATAACGTGGGGAGGGGGGAAAAACACAATCCAAAGTTATTCTTTTTTTTGGTTTTGCAAAAAATAACACATACGAACACACAAACAGACAGACAGTCGGACATATATACACATATACACAGAATACACACACACACACACGGGCTGCAGTGAGTGACTGGAGAGAGCAGTGGGTTTAGCTGTGAGATGGGAAGCGGTGTAAAACAAAGCATTTATAGTGAAATCCGCTAACCGGTCGGCAGATCGTCACTTGCGTCTTAAAGGCGAAGTTCAAATCTCCCCCCACCCCCCCCACCCCCCTCCTCCTCCTCCTCCCTCCCTTCCTCCCTCCCTCCCTCCCGGCTATACACCGTATATTAATCCCACTGGTGAAGCACTACGATAAACAGTACCTATTCGAAACGCTGACCGACTCTTTTCAGGCTTATTTAATTCCTAAAACATATGTATATATATATATACATATACACACACACACACCACACATATACATACACACACACCACACCACACACACACACACACATATATATATATACACACATCCAGCTCCAATCCCCCCCCTCCCCCCCTCACCCAAGTTTCACACACAAACACACACACTTAATAACAGCAGCAACAACAACTTGCATTTACATCGCGCCCTTTCATATCCTGGACGGCGTCTCGGAGCGCTTAACAGTGGCGGAAAATGGGGAGAGAGAGAGAGTGGGGGACTGGGCGGGGTGGGGGGGGAGAGTGCCAGGTGAAGGGGTCGAGGGAGAGAGTTCCACAGCTTCGGGGTTCACTGGCTGAAAGCGCGGCTGTTGACGGTGAGGCAAAGGCGTACTTTCACCTGTTATTCTCCTGGAGTAACGGGTGAAAGGGCAAGTTGTTGAAGTGATTTTTTTTTTTGGGGGGGGGGGCAGGTGAGGAAGAGCGGATGGGGGGGAATAAGTGAAATAAAGAATTGAACGAGCTGAAATAAAATACCACAGCAACAACAACTCCACGCACTGCACGCAGAGAAGCATTTCGGCACGCTTATAATCCTTAGCATATCGCGCCTTAACATGTCGTTGAGACACCAACGACAACAACAACACTTGGGGAGGACTTCCCGAGGCGCTGGAAACTCCTCGAGTCTCCAAACGCGACTGAAAAATTCCCTGTGTCTGGAAATTTCCCTGTGTCTGGAATGGAACGCGCACTCTCTCAGATGGACGATCCCGCTTACCTAATTCCGGACAATATTAGGCGCAGGTTGGCAAGAGCCACGGTTTAGGGCCCCCTGAGCGGGGGTTGGGGTAACTGCTGGAGGCTAACCAGCTAAAACCCCATAGCTTGCCATTGAGAGCATTGCTGGCAAGCTTTCCCGCTTTGAATTATTTTACTTCCCTAAGCTGATAGCATTAAAACTCACAGCACCTACATTTCCGTTGAGCACCAGCAACCAGCTGTCTATTTTCTCTCATCTAAAGTTCATTGCTTATTATATTAAGCTCTGCAGCTTTCTGGCCCTCCGAGAGGCACTCTCACTACTGGGTTGGAATTCCTTAGGTTACAAGCTCCCACATTGAGACTTTGAGTTTACAATCTAGATTAATGTCCAGTTGATGGAGCTCCTCTTCCCAACATACTATGCTTGACAGCAATATTTCTTGGTCAGTAAGTCTCTTCACCATGTTTCAGAATATCTAAACCTACAGAAACGTATATATGGACACTTCTTTTTGTCTAGCGTGGAGTATGCACTCTCTCCCCAGAGTGACACACTCTGTCTGCTTACTTATTCCAAATCATAGGAATTGAGAGTCCCAGGAAGTCATACTCCAAGTAACCGATAGTCCCAGTAAATGTTACTCCCAGTGAGTAATAGTCTCATTAACTGAAATTCCCAGTAACCAATGCTCTCTGTGACAAATACTTCTCGTTCCCAATGAACAAGAACAAAAACAACTTGCATTTATACAGCATTCTTCACGTGGGGCACATTATAATTGATTACTGCCAGCAATTGATGGTTACAACATTATCCTCAGGTATAAAAAGAATGTTGTTTAGCTCAGATTTAATTTGACTGTTTTAATACATTCATTTCAGGTCTGTATGTTTGTGTGTGTGTGTATGTATGTAATTAATTAAGAAATCTGAGCGGGGGCAATTGGAAGTGGGAGTCTCGAAATTCTAGATGTTCTCATTAAAGAATTCCGGCAAAATCAACAACACAAAATTTCTAAAGATTTGATTTAAAAATAATCTGTGATAAAGAATTGTTAGGTGCACACTCCAACTGGCTCACTCTCTTTCTCTCTCTCTCTCTCTCTCTCTTGGATCGGGTCAGAATGCAAGTGAACTGATGTACATGCACTCACCTCCTTCTTTTACACTTGCCTGTCGTGAGGATCGGAACAGTCACTCAAAAATCATATTAATAATCATTGCATTTGATATAGCTCAAAGTGTCTCTGAGGTATAGCGCCTGTTTCATATCCCCCGCCCTACCATCAGCAGGCAGATTTTCAACCATTCTGTCCCTACTCTATGGAACTCCATTCAACGAGTTCCTACCACTTGCTCGTTCACTCCCTTCCCTTGTTCAATGCACATTTTAAAACTTGCTCTTTCACCACGGTGTCTCGTTCTTCTTTTCCCTCCCCACCCTTCTCGGTCCCCCCCCCCCCCACCCTCTCCAGCTCCCATACCCGGCTAGTGTAGTCAAATGTATTGAGACGTCCCATCCTCCCAACGTGAAAGACGCTGTATAAACGTAAATTGTATCGTACATATTGACAAACAATTTACATTTCCTTGCAATCAAACATTAAATAAGTGATTTAGAAACTCTTCTGTTTTCACTTAGCGCCATGGTATCGTTAACCTCTGCTTAAAACGTCAGACTTGGGACATGAACCTGCAACTTTCTGCCCCAGAGGTGAGAGCGCTACCAACTGAGCCAAGCTGACACCAATACACATGTAAGAAGCTGGCGGAATAGGCTCTATGTGGCTGAATGGTCTCCGACTTTTTCTGAGTTCCACACAACTCCATTTTATTTCCAGGCGATGGTTTAATTGACTGAGCCACTGGTCACAGTCACACGTTTTGTGTTAAAGACGCAGAGTTCAAGCTCTGAGTACTCAGGGAGGTTAGCCAGGGTTCTAGGAAGAGGAGTTTTGGGTTTTGTCCCATTTTATTATAAGGTTCATAAAAACACTTTGCAGCTTTTATTGTTTTTCTTCAGAAAAACACCAAGATTAGCTCACTTGTGGCACATAGCAAGTAGCACACTGTGCGAGCAGCAACATTATTGGACGAGCAGAACAGCCGGCGTTCCTGATGATGACAAAAATAATCCTTGTATTTGTTGCAGAGCCTATAACTTCTCAAAGCACTTCTCACAGTTTGGCGACTGAATTTGTAGGTGAATGCAGCAGCAAATTTCTGTGCAGCAATGTCCCATGAACAGCCGTGATCTGATTGAGTAACTTTTAGCAGGTTGGGGTGGGGGTGGTGGGGTTTGGGGGGGAATTATCAGTTGTCGGCCAGGATGCAGAGAGAGACTACCTTCTCTTTTCAAGTTGCTCTCGCTCACTCCCCCGTGGAGTCCTGTAGCTAGTGCTTAAAGCATTTGCCTCGCAAGCGAGAGGACCTGAGTTTGAGTCCTGGGCAAATGTACAGTCAATTCACTTTACAGTGTATTTTGTGAAGCACTTTGAGACTTCTCAATGACCTGATAGGGCACTATATCATATATAAGTGTTATTATTATTAAGTAGCGGGATTTCTAATATCTACCTGATCAGGCACAGATGATTTAATATCATGTCCGATGAATGGCCCCTCTGACAATGCAGTGCTCTCCCCCACACACCCCCCACTACTGAGTTGAAACATCTGCCTGGACTGTGAGCTCACGTATGTGCAAGGGATGGATATTGCAATATTGCTCAACAGACTTGTTAGTTTTGTCACATCACAACTGCATTGAGCGCAGTGTAACAGGATGCATCGCAATCCCTTTTAAAAGTTAAGACGAAAACTCAGTGGTGAGTAACAGTTAAAACGGTGGCATGAAAGAGACCACATCTGAAACCGATTAGGCTCCATATGGCACGCTCTAATTTAAGCTACTCTGGTGTAGGGCTGTCTTTTTCCGCCACAGAGACCTTTAAAACCACACAGGAGAAGGAAAAAAACACTTGAATTCTGTCCAGCAACCTCCCTCCCTTCCTCCCTCCTTCCCCCTTTAAATGTACTGAATCGATATCTGATGTATTTTTAACAAGGTGCATTTTCTCCAGTGACTTATATTTGAC